GGTTACAGGTGTGCACCATAACACACATCTCAACGATGACTTCTTTTTTTTAAATTAAGTTTATTGGTACAATGTAGACACATAATGATCACATTCATCATAGGGAATTTGTAACTAACTGTACATGATATATCTTAATTCTTCTTTTTTCCCATTCCCCTCCCTTCAACCCCTCTTCTCTTCCTTATTTACAAAGCTTTGTTTTCATTTTATCCCTCTTTTCTCATTTTTTTCTTTTCCCTTCTTTCCTTTCCCCCTCCCCCTTCCCTAGTTATCCTTTACTTTGGAACAATTTCTTCCTATTTTACAGTATCCTTAATACATTTCAGTCCTTATTTACACTTTCAGTTTCTCACACAAGAGAGACAATTGGATATTTACACATGTGTCTGATTTATTTCACTTAAGCGTATAGTCTCAAGGTCCATCCATTTACCTAGAAATATCTCAAGTTTATCCCTTGTGGCTGAGCAGTACTCCATTGTATAAAAACCCCCACATCTTCTTTATTCATTCATCAGTTGATGGGCATTTGAATTGCTTCCAAGATTTACCTATTACAAACTGTGCTGCTATAAACATGGGTGTGCATATATCGCTATGGTATGATACTTTTAATTCTTTCAGGAAGATACCAAGAAGGGAAACAGCTGTGTCAAATGGGATCTCTAGTCCTAGCTTTTTGAGGCATCTCCATGTCAGGAGCAGCTGAGCCGGAGATTGTTCATACCTGGGGATCCAAGCTTTTGGAGCGGCTGAAACACGGCAGGTGTTCCAGCCCCGAGAACGTGGGGCAGGAGAGGCGAGGTAGTTGTTAGGCAGAGTGGTTTCACCTGACATCAGACTGCTGCGTGTACAAATAAATGTGTTACAGTCACCGAGCAGTGCTTTTTGCTAACAGGAGAGAGGGGTCCCCCTACCTCAGCTACTGCATCTTGTCTTCTTTTTTTTTTTTGGTCTTTTTGAGGCAGGGTCTCACTATGCAGTTCAGGCTGACCTTGAGCTCACTTTGTAGCCCAGGCTGGTCTCGAACTTACAACGGTCCTCTTGCCTTGGCCTACGGAGTGCTGGGATTACAGGTGTGCGCCACCATACCCAGCCTTGTCTTCATTTCTTCACCTCACTACCTTTCACGGTCCTCACCCCGTGAAGTTCAAGAGCTGCGCTCACTGTGGCATCTCCACACTGATTTCCACAAGAGTTGCACCAGTCTACACTCCCACCAACAATGGAGAAGGGTTCCTTTTCCCCCACAGCCCCATGAGCATTTGTTATTGGTTGATTTCCTGAAAGTAGCTATAGAGAGCCCTTCCCAGTCCTCGTCGCAGTCTGAGAAGTTGATATTTGTAATTCCATGGAACAGTTGTTGGAGTTCTAGTGACTTAATTCCAATCTACCACTTCCAGTGCAACCTGTGGAGAGAATAAAGACACCAAGGCAAATTTGTAGTTGTGTGCAACCAAAGGGGTCCTAAGTCCAGCTGAGATAATGGCTAACTGGAACAAAGGCCTCCACCCAGGGCTGAACCCAGGTTTTATTAATTCTTGAAGAAGGGCATGGTTTGAAGATGAGAGACTGAGAATTGCAGGAAGTACATGAGTTCTGTGAGTGGGGGTAGGCCTGGGAACTCATAGTCTCTTATCTCGAGGCTCGATCCCAACTGACAGCATGGAAACGGTCCTCCATCCCACCTGGAGTCGTACATGGTTCCCCACCCCCACCCCCCACCCCGTCACAAATGTTTTTCAGGAGCTACAGGGGTGGGTAATACCGGGTGGGTGGTAACACTGCCCTGTTACCTTGCTTGAAAGACTACACATTAGCACCTCAGCTGGACCAATTTGCATTGCTTAAAGCCAATTGAAGGGATAAGGAAAAGGCCTAGCCAGCTCTATACATATCAATACATGGAACTAGGGCCAGGTTTAGCCAAGATGGAGATAGTTGCTCTTCTTTCAAGGAAAGCCATTCTTTCTGGAGTTAGATGAAATCCCAGGATTGTTTTAATTTGCATCTCTTAAATGACCAGTGCCGTTGAACATTTTTTCATATATTTATTTGCTGTTTTTACTTTTTCATCTGAGAAGTGTGTATTCATCTCAGATGCCCATTTTTAGATTTGGTCTTTAAATGTGGAAGCAGGGGCTGACTTCTGTGAGTTCTTCATACGTTCCAGATATTAGTTGTCTGAGGAACAACTGGCTAAACTTTTTTCCCACTCTGAGATGTCTTTGCACTTGGTGATATCTTTTGCTGTGCAAAAGCTTTTTAATAAGATCAGATCTCAGTTGTTGATTCTTTGTCATATTTCCTATGTGACTGGGGTTTTATTCATGAAGGCCTATACCTGTGTCTTCAAGTGTTCTACCTATTCTATCTTCCAGCAGATTTAATGTTTCTGTTTTAATATTTAGATCTTTGATCCATTTTTATTTTAGCTTAGTGCATGGTAATAGACATGGGTCTAGAATTAGTCTTCAGCATGTGCAAAGCCAGTTTTCCCAGCACCATTTATTAGAGAGGCTATCTTTCTTCCAGTGAATGTGTTTGGCCCCTGTATCAAAGATAAGCTGGCCTAGTGTGTTTGGAGTTGTTTCTCTACCTTCTACAATCTGTTCCATTGATCCTCAGGTGTGTTCTTTTTTGCCAGAGCCTCTTTATGAAAAAATTCACAATAACACTGCAAAAAAGTGGATTACTAGGAGTAATCCAGCGCCATTCTGGCTGGGTGCCATAGCAACTCAGCTGGAATTACAGCGGGGCAAGAAACCAATCACTATCCTAACTCTCTTCTGGTTCCAAGTGAATTTTAGGAATGTTTTCTCTAGTTCTGTGAGGTATGCTGATGGTATTTTGATTGGGATTGCGTTAAATCCCTATAACAATTTTGCAACTATGGCTGTTTTCTTTTTTTGTTTGTTTGTTTTGGTTTTTTTTTCCGGTACCAGGAATCGAACTCATGACCTTGCGCTTGCCAGGCAGGCGCTGTGCCACTGAGCTAAATCCCCAGCCCCCAAATCAAGTTGGCTATTTTCACTATGTTGCTTCTTCTACCCAAGAACAAGAGATATCTTCCTTTTTTTTTTTTTTTTCTCCAGTACCAAGAATCAAACTCACGACCTTGCACTTGCCAGGCAGGTGCTGTGCCGCTGAGCTAAATCCCCAGCCCCTCTTCCATTTCCTGATATCCTCTTCTATCTCATTTTTCAAAGTACTATAGTTCTCAATGTTAAGATCTTTTACTTCTTTTGTTAGATTGACTCCTAATAATCCACTTTTTTTCAGTGTTATTGTGAAAAATATTGTTCCCCTAATTTCTCTGTCAGTGAGTTTGTTATTTTTAATGATGAGTTTAGAAGTTATAATGATGGTACAAGTTAGCAGGTTCTGAACTCCATCACAAATGGGGAAAATTGCCTTCAGAATTATAGGGAATTTTTTCATAAAGAGGAAATAGGTGTTAAAATTGAAGATAAGAAAAATAAAGTAGGTATGTCTACAAAGCCTGCATTTCAACCCTTTTCAGGGCAGGATCACAGACTAAGAAGTTCCACACCAAAAACTGTTTTTAAAACAAAGACTATTGAAGTTAAAAATAAACATAATTCGCTGTTTCACTGAGCAATTGGAATCCATCACTAATATACAGATATGGTTAGGCAATGGGAAAAGGATTCTCCAGAAATTTAACTTTTTTCACAGAGTAAGCCACATCGAAGACTTCATTGAAAAATACTGTGGACCTCAGAGAAATCCTCCCTTTCCCTGGCAACAGCTCTTCCTTTCCTCCAATTGTTAGATGAAACACTCACTCTGAAAGAAGCAGACTTACAGAATAATATAATCATTCAGAGACCGAAAAAAGAAACCTTGCCAAACTTTTAAAAGAACTTTCATAGTACTGGTTTTTGAGAGACTATGTAGAAACTACAGAAAAATGATAGTTGGAAGTAAACATGCAGAAGTGAGAGAAGGAAGTCAGATTTGCTGGATTTCTGGTTCTAGTAATATTTAATTCTCTCCTGGGGTGGGATTTGTAATATTTACAAGTTAAGAGAATAACATATTGATGTAGGAGATTAGGGTGTGGTAAAACTGGCTGGGGAAGTGAGTGTGACCTGTTAATTACAAGGTCCTGGAACACATGCACAGAATAGTTCCCAAAGTCTTGCACACCGGCTTCTCATGAGAACTCCAGCAGGTTTTCAATAGCATAGCCCAGAACTGAGGCATGGGATCCCAGCACCACCTCTCAGAACCCAAACGTAGAAGCCCTCAAGACTTAGTATAAAAAAGACAGATGCCAAGAAGAGCTTGCTATAGTGGCTATCCTCACAATAGCCTGCCTTGCTTTCTCCAGGGTGTACTTTTATCTTGCTTTTTTCCTTTGTTACTGTGCCTAAGCTCAGTGTGCAGAGCCAGTTTCTCTCTCACTCTCCACTTTTATTTTTTCAGATAAACTTCACCACTGTTTTTTTTTGTTGTTGTTGTTTCTATCAATTCTTTGAGAGAAGGACCTGGAATCTAACTCCAGAAGGAAAGCAAGCAACCCAGAACCCTGTGATGTTTATTTCACGAGCCACCTTCAGAAGGAGCTACCTAATGACAATATGACTGGAAGCTATATTCATCACACTTTTGTTCCGGATGCCTATTCAGAAAAAAAGTATGTTTACTTTCAAATACCAATTAATCAATATAAAATATATTAAAATATAGCTGTATATTTTAGAATCAATATGGTATAAGTTAGAAAAAATGCTCACAGCATTTGTTACTCAAGCATCATTTCCCAACAGCAGGAATTTATTTAAATATTAGTTATCTCAGAATTTTATTTATTTATTTATTTGTTTGTCTTGTTGAGACAGGGTCTCACTGTGCAGTTCAGGCTGGCTGTGAGCTCACTTTGTATCCCAGGCTGGTCTCAAACTCGCAACGATCCTCCTGCCTCAGCCTCCGGAGTGCTGGGATTACAGGCGTGCACCACCTTGCTCGGCTTCTCAGAATTTTAAAATAGCAATACATTTAAAATTATACGTGGTAGGTTAAAGGCATTAATATAATTATTTTGTACCTTAGATATAATCAAAAGTCCGATGAGCTGGACATGGTGCTGCCCATCTATATTGTGACTTCAAGGGCAGCCTCAAGACACCGTCTCAAAAACAAAACAACACAACACTCTGGGATGCCCATACCTTTGTCTAAATCTCCAAGTGTTCTCAGTTTTTACTCTGTGCTGGCAAGATATACTCAATTATTAATTTGGCAGCAGTATGTAAGATGTAGTTTCGATTTGTTGCTGTTGAGCGTGGGGGCAGGTGGATCTCGGTAGAGCGAGGTTGCTGGACTCTCCCGCTCATACTACTCGGCCTTCAGGGCTGGCTCCGTCCCACGTGGCCCTTCGCGGCACCCGTCGGGCCCCTGGGTGGAGTCATTACGTCACGCCGAAACCACCCGGGAAGAAGTTAGACGAGACGCGAGGCCATCTTAACCGCCATGCCCAAGAATAAAGGTAAAGGCGGTAAAAACAGACGCAGAGGTAAGAATGAGAATGACTCTGAAAAAAGGGAATTGGTGTTCAAAGAGGATGGGCAAGAATATGCTCAGGTAGTGAAGATGCTGGGAAATGGACGATTAGAAGCGATGTGTTTCGATGGCGTGAAGAGATTATGCCACATCAGAGGCAAGTTGAGAAAAAAGGTTTGGATAAATACCTCAGACATCATATTGGTTGGTCTCCGTGACTACCAGGATAACAAAGCTGATGTGATTCTAAAGTACAACGCGGATGAAGCAAGAAGTCTGAAAGCGTATGGCGAGCTTCCTGAGCACGCAAAGATCCATGAAACTGACACATTTGGTCCTGGAGACGATGACGAAATTCAGTTTGATGATATTGGAGATGATAATGAAGACATTGACGATATCTAAATTGAACCCAACACTTTACATTCAGTTTTTCGGAAGATTGTCCTGCAGTTTGGATTTTGGCAGTAACCCTCCAAGAAGTTTTCATTAGCAGGATTGTAATTTATTAAGGCAGTTTGATTTGGTTCTAAGGTATTTGTTTCTGTTAAAACTGTTAATGCTGAATTATCTTAAGTGAAATGTCAAGCCCACTTTGTTCAAGACTGTGTATTTCAAAAATTAGTGCATTACTGCCTTTCCTACGTTGATCACTTCCAGAAAGTAAATGGATGTTCTGAACGAACCATTTGCCCTGTGTTCATTATAGCTTGTGATTAACTCCTACTTTTTGACTAACCTATAGACTATACAGAATCTTTCTGCATATTCTGGTTACCTAGATGTTCCTTCGAGATTTTGAAGGAGGCCTAAATCTGCATTTGAATTAAAAAAAATAGTAGGTTTGTTTTCCATATATTAAGTAGCATGTGGCTGTTTGATATCATTACATTATTTTCATAATTTTACTTTACCATCATACACGTCTGGGCTGGGGGAAATATTTCCCAGATATAGTTTTTAGAACCAGAGTTGTTTGTTTGTCAGGCTGGTTTTGAGCTCACTTTATAGCCTAGGCTGGCCTGGAACTGCAACGATTCTCCTGCCTCAGCCTCCCGAGTTCTGGGATTATAGGCGGGTGCCCTCATGCCCAGCTCACCTGAATTTTAATACCAGTTTTAAAATTGTAAGGGTAGTTGCAGAAATTAAACGCTAGGTGGCACCCATTTATTTTTAACAGTGGAAATATTCATACAGTTGTTGGGTTTTTTTTTTTTTAATTACTGTGCATGGAAAATTTTCCAAACAAGAAAATATTGTTTTGATCATATGTATGTAGGCTATTTTTATGGGGAGAAATATTTGCTTACAAATGTTATTTTCAGAAGTCATGCGTGTAGTTACAATTGTGAATGCTTTATAAACATTTTGCTAAGGACTAGGGGTGTAGCTCAGTGAAAAGTCTCCAGGGTCAATCTTCAGTACAGTACTGGGAGAAAAAACGATGGTCTCTAATTTCTGAATGGAAGAGAGGGCGACTGTGAAAAATAAAATAAAATATGCTGTATTTTCACTTAGGAATAAAATTGTACAGTTTAGGATGACATCAGTATTAATCTGCCTGCTCACCTTTCTATACTTTCTAAATTTAAAAAAATATTCTCTTCAAAAAACCCATTCTCAAACCGGGCGTCGTGGCCCACGCCTGTAATCCCAGCACTCTGGGAGGTTTACACAGGAGGATAGTTGCAAGTTCAAGGCGAGCCTGGGCTACAAAGTGAGCTCAAGGCCAGCCTGAACTTCATAGCCAGACCCTGTCTCAAAAAAAAAAGCCCATTCTCTTTCCCTCCCCACCCCAAAATTTGCTACCAGTCACTTAGAATATGAGAGTTAACCTTTGTATTGATGCAAGATTACATCCTGGTTAAAAACAAAGAGGAAAGGTGAAGGAAAATAATTGCAATCTGTGAACCTGAATTGATTTCTGGATTGAAAGAAACTATATAAAATGGCACAGATTAACTTGTGGACTAAGACTTCATGAACAAGTGCAAAAAAAATCTTTTGCAATCGAGAATTCATTGTTCAGTATGAGTTTCGTTACATATAAAAAGGAATATTACTGCCAGGTGCAGTGGTACAAGCCTGTGATCCTGGGGCTCCTGAACCTGAGGCAAGAGGAATGAAGCTTGAACTGTATAGTGAGACTGTACCTCAGAAAGCAAAGAAAAAAAAAAAATTATATATATATGTACATACATACACACAATAACCTAATACAGGCAGGCATTTGTGCTGCTGAGCTATATAAGGACTAGGACTTCTCCCCAGCCCCAATAACCTAATACAGATTAAAGTGATGGAAGGTGTTAATAACTATTGTTTTGTTCTGAGGCTAAAATTAACCTAATACTAGGGCTTCTCCCCAGCCCCAATAACCTAATACAGATTAAAGTGATGGAAGGTGTTAATAACTATTGTTTTGTTCTGAGGCTAAAATTAATTATAAAACACAGGATATGAGTAAAATCTCAGCTCATACCCAGTGCTTTATAAGAGACTTGGTGTTCCAGTTTTTATGTTGTAGCACACAAAGATAGCTTTTTTTTCTTTTCTTTTCTTGGTACCAGGAATTGAACTCAAGTCCTTGTGCTTGCCACGCAGGCACTTATGCCACTGAGCTATATCCCCAGCCCTTTTTTTCTTTTCTTAAAGGCTTCTGTTTGAACATAGGTCTGGAATTAAAGATATGTCTTACTGTGTTGGATCTTCTTTCTTTAAATGTAGTAATATCAGAGTAAAATTTCCACAGGTTTTTAATAAAAGATTGTTAGATTTCTTTTAAAAAAATGATACAGGGGGCTGGGGATATAGCTCAGTGGCACAGCGCCTGCCTGGCAAGCAAATGGTTGTGAGTTTGGCCCCCAGTACTGGAAAAAAACCAAAAAATAAAAAAATTAAAAAATGATACGGAAAGAGTTAAGAACATTTTACTATGGCCTATATATATTATACATATATATTAGGTAAAATTTGCTAATTTTAGGTATAAAAGTGATAATGTGACTATGTAGAAAAAAACATTCTTACAGGATGTTGTCACAACACTAAAAAAAATTGGAAGTAAAGTACTGCTGTGGTTCAAATTGTCCTTCAAGCCTGGCAAGTGCAAAGTCGTGAGTTCGATTCCTGGTACCGGAAAAAAAAAAAAAAAAAAGAAACAAACAAAAAAAGAAACAAATTGTCCTGCAAAAGTTCATTTGTTAATTTTAGTCAGAAAAACTGATAATGTGACTGTGTAGAAAAATTCATTTATTCTTGGGGAATACCAAGTTACAACAGTAAGAGGAAAGTGGAGGTAAAATATTGCTGTGGTTCAAGTGTGTCCTGCAAAAGTTCATGTGTTGGACGTTTGAGTGTGGCAAAGTGCAAAGAAGGAGAATAACAGAGGATGGCTAGAAGGGAACAGGAGGTGGATTTCTTGCAATATGGACGTGATTCAAGGAAAAAAGTGCAAGGGATGAGGAGGAGGGGACGGGGAAGTAAGAATAAAAATACGCCATTACAGTAACCTAGTAACTTCAATTAATGTAAACATTATGTGCCACAACATGAGCTAAGATTAATGATATCAACAAGGATGGCGGACAGGGGAATTGGAGGAGGGAGGGAGAGGGACAAAAGAAGGGAATTTAAAAAGATGAAAAAGCTCTGGTGTGTACATATTACCACTCCCCAAGATGATTGAATTGTATGAATTACAAACATGTATTAATAAATTAAAAATTTTTTAAATTCGTGTTTTGGAAATTTAATGTTCAAATTCCTATGCTGGTATTTGGAGGTAGGGCCCTTGGGAGGTAATTAGGATTAGATGAGTACAGGGTCTCCATGAAGCCATTTAGTGCCATTATAGGAAGAGGGAGAGATTGGAGCTAGCACACTTGCTTGGTCTCGCCATACGACACCCTCTGTCATATTATGATGTGGCAAGAAGGCCATTGCCTGATGCCAGCTATATGATGGTGCCATGCTCTTGAACTGGCCTCCAGAACTGTGAGCCAAATACATTGTTTATAAATCATCTGGTCTCAGGGATTTTCTTACAGTAAAAGAAAACAGAAATGTCATGATGTTTGCAACTTCTTTCCAATGGCTTAGCAAAAGTTATTTATATACTGTAATGTTGTATATACACACTCGAAGTAGTGAGAGAAAGGGATGAGTTATGAATGATTAATCTAGGTATAAGAAACAAGTCTTCTGTATGTTTTTTCAGTTTCTCTGCAGGATTACAAAACTTCATAATTAAAAACAACTTGGAGAAATTATACCTATTTTCTCCTACTAAAAATATCATGTGAAGGTGTTAAATTTTCCTTTAATTTTTAGTTGAGTATATCGTAGGCTACCTTTGCACTTACTTTTATCTTTGTTGTTTTGTTGTTTTGAGTTTATTCAAATGATTTCATTTTAGCTCTTTCATTTTGGGCAATTTTGAAGGACTAGATAAACCTAATATTTGATGGCTGGAATTAAATCATTTCTCTATGAGCCAACAGGACATTTGTAAACATGTTAAATTTTTGTTGCTGTTTTTGCTTTTTCTTTGTTGTTTTTTGAGACAGGCTGGCCTTAAGCTTATTATGTAACCTAGGCTAGGCTTGAACTCAAGATCCACCTGCCTGAGCTTCCCAAATTCTAGGATTATAAGCATGTGTCACCAGGCTGGTGAACTCTCCTCCACTGTCATCCATTCTTCCTTTCTTTGAGTATGATGCTAAGAAAAAAGAATAGAGGTTAAAGGAAAGGATAACACTTAAGAAAAATCAAAATTCTGGTTTGGTTTCATGTTTCAGGATCTCCTGGCCAAAATCCTCCCAAGCCGTGAAGACAGCAGGACAGTGAACTCTATTAGAAAAGCGCAGCAGGTTCCTGCAGGCAATCCTTACCTTGAAATTTAAGATTACTTCCCACAATTGTGCATTTTTTAAGAACCAGTATTTGTTTTGCTCCCTGGGCTGCTAATAAGGAAAATTCACATTTATGACTAGTCATGGCCATGTTCACTTAAAGAATCTCTTTGTAAGTTCACTAGTAAACTCTACAGGAATTTTATGGCCGTAAGTTTCACATTTTCTCCTGATTTGATCCCTTATTTTTCCTCTTGCTGTGGAGTTTCTTCTTAGGGCAGATGTTGCCTTTGCTATTTTTCTTTGCTGCTTGTGTTTTCATCCACTGCTTAACAGTGTGATTGTGTGGGCTGACACAGATTCTTCTGCGCTTCACATGAAGGCTGTTGAGAAAGGAAATTAAAAATAATCACTAACAGAAAATAAGAACATATTAAAAAATGAGTAATAGCTCCCACTCTTGGATTCTCTGTTCTTAGGGACTGAATCCTAAAGCTAGTCAGCACACAGTTAAATCTTGACTTAACACACACTGTATTCCATAGAGATCAGCAGGTGGAACTGCCTGTGGTCCATAGAGATCAGCAGAGAGTATTAAAAGGAGGAAGAGGAAAAGAAGGAATGGGGGAGGAGAAAGAGGAGGACAAGCAGAGAAAGAGGAAAGCAAAAGAAGACGAAGAGGAAGCAGAGAAGGAGGATGGAATAGAAGAAAAAGACAAACAACAATAAAAACCAAGGGAGAATAAGCCTCACCCACCAAAATCAACTCATCCTCGCTGCCATCTCAAACACATCCCTCTCTGTAAAGCTGTTCTGGAGCCTCTCAGCTAAATCTCTTTCCTTTTGTGTGTCCATGATGAGAGTTACCTCTCTTCTGGCCCTTAGTTTACTACGTCTCTGATTTGAGTACTTATCTCTCCTGCTGAAGTTATGGTCCTTGAGAGAGGAATAGTCTAGGCATATTTTTGAAAAGATCAAAGTCCACAGTTGGAATTCAGTAATTCAATGAAGATATGAAGTGAAAATATTCTAGGCATTTGTTAGAATTGAATATAATGTGGATCCATACCCACAGCTCTGAATTTGTTTTCATTTTAATTTTTCCATATGAAATGTTGACATTGGAGTGGAAGAGTCCTCAGGCAGCACTCACAATTTCTAAGTAACTGCAAGGATTTCTTGTTATAAAAGGTGGTATGACTTTTAATTCTCCATCAGATGCTAGCCAGCTCTCATAAAATGTTGCAAATCATGCTGGCTCTACATATGTGATATTTCTGTGTCCTAATAAAAGTGAAATCTTTGGCTCTGTTATTCAGGGAGAAAATTTTAAAAAGAGTAGCTGCTGTTTCTCCAGAATGTCCTATGTTGATTTGTTACCAGACAATGTCTGGACTCAAAATAGAGGCAAAGTGGGAAAGGTGTAAATTAGCATTACCATAAGAAAACCAGCCTTTGGAGGAATATTAACTTGAAAAAAAATGGGAGCATCATAAGAAGAGAGCACATTCTCTAAGTGTATTAGATTGAGAAGGCTTCAAAAGAAAAGCTGATTTTCACTATGTCCAGTTGGGTTGCTATTACAGAGGAAAATCTGAATATAACATTGCTGCAGAGGAAAAACCAAAAAAATATTTGAAACCAGGTGTGGTATCTCACACCTATAATCCAAAAGCACTCAGGAGGCTGAGACAAGAAGATCACTGCAAGCTCAAAGTCAGCCTGGGCTACATAATGAGTTCAAGGCCAGCCTGAACTATATAGTGAGACCCTGTCTCAAAATACTAATAGTAGGGGCTGAGGATTTAGGTCAGCAGTGTAAAAGCCCCATCACAGACATTAAAGGTTCTAGTTTAATTCCCAGTTCCCACCCCTGCCGTGCGGTTAGATCTTCGTGTTTTACCTTTTCTGGAATGTATGGTTGTAAACACCCTGCCCTTCCTGGACTCCCAAAATGTATTGTTCTTCTCGTGAATGCTCTACCCATCCCAGATTCTCAGAATGTACTGTTTCTGCCATAAAAAAATTCCCTCATGGTTACAGATGTGACATGTGTTTGCCAAACAGGATGCGGTTTTAGGGTTTAAAAACTGCTCTTGTCCTTGGATCAGGACTGGTCTGATCCTTCCCTGCATGGAGGCTCTCAGTCAGTCCCTGGCCAGGAATAAAAGGCTCGTCCTAAATTCCAATTAGCGGTCCATGTGTCTTGGTGTTTGTCGGTCGGTACCATTTTGGTTCGTTCGTTTCTGGTAGCGAGTCCACAGCAAGCGGCACAGTGCCTGCCTGGCAAGAGCAAGGTCGTGAGCTCAATTCCCAGTACCGGAAAACAAACAAACAAAATACTAATAGTAATAATAACAAAATTAAGTTGAAGTTTCTTCACTTTCCAAAGAACTGAAATTCTTCTTTCTGTGGTGTCATCAAGAACCTGAGGAGAGACTTCACTGATATGCAGATGAGCCCATGGAGAGAATCCAGGGGAGAATGAGGGCTCAACACCATGATTAAAATATGAGTGGCCCAGGGAAGTGGCACATGCCTGTAACCCTAATACTGTAAGAGGTTAAGGCAGGAGGATCACAAGTTTAAGTCCAACCCGGGCAATTTAAGTAGATAATCTTAGTAAGATCCTGTCTCAGAAATTTTTTAAAAGCTTTTTTAAGTGCTAGGGATAAAGCTCAGTACAAAGGTCCTAGGTTTAATCCCCAGTAACCCAACACACACACACACACACACACACACACAGACACACACACACACCACACACACATGTGATAGCTTCAGGCAGAGGTATCTGCACTGGCGTGGAAGGAGTGAATTTGGTAGGGGACACAGAAAAGATGGGAGACAGGGACGTTGGGGAGCAGCTACCAGAACACAAAACCCAAATCTGGGATACCACGATGTTTCAGAATCCTAAAGTGCAAAAAGCTGCTTAAAACTATCTCATGTGTATTTCAACAGGATAATAAGAGATTGAGTAATACTGGTGAAGGAGATAGCCTATTCCGTGCTCCCCTACCCTAACTTCACTGTGTAGCTTCCAGGCAGGCACCTACCCACTCCCTCTTTAAATTTCTAGGGGGAAGAGTTTGACTCTTAAGAAACTATTGGTTCATGCCCTGACTCTTATCCATAAGAGAAGAGCCAGAAACAGTTCACTGCACCCATGGAAATTATACCTAAGATCATTCCCTAGACTCTATTTCTTTACCCCTTCTTCTGAACACAACATTTCACTACCACTTCTGATAAACTACCCAAGCCTCTCAGATAACTTTATTTAATAACTGCAAAGTGTCTTCCTAACAGATACCTTCTACATGAGTCGAAAAAACCTCAACCCTCTGACAACTTTCACAGAAGGGTTTAAACAAGGGAGCTACTGTCTCAGGCATCAAAAATTACAATGATCAATAGGGTCAGAAACAAAGGACCTGTTTTCAGGCAGAAAGGAAAGCAATCTAGTAAGCTCATTGTAAGCTAATTTATATTATTTAATTGTGACTTAGAATACATGCTACTTGGGAATCACAGTTCCAAAATGAGGAATATTTGCTGCGCTTAAAAACTTCTCTCAAACCGTAAAGTCTTTGTCTACAGTTAAGGTTAAGGGACTACATTTTGGACTAAGAGCTGCTTTGCAGTAAAAGAATGTGAAGACAAATTCAAATTTATGTTGACCATAAATTTTATGTTGAACATCAGAAATCATAACAGAGGGTCTGTAATTTGTGATTAAAAACACTAGAGTCAAATTTAATTTTATTTGAGACCAAGTCTCAGTTGCTCTGTATTTTTTACCTTTCTTATAAGGACAAAGAGTTCAATTTACAAACTTGTGACTGAATGCAATATTATTTTTAGATCTTAGTAACTGGCTTCATAGTTTCCCTTTAGTTAAAATGGAATCTTTTTAAAAATGAAGACTCATATTTTTTGATGTATTTTTCCTTATCAAAATGAGAATTTATATCATTTTTGTTTTTGTACCTTTGAGTTCTCTGACACCTGCTTATTCCTAAAATAACTTCTCTAAAAGTCCTCTTGTTAATGGTGTCCCTTGTGGCCCCCAGAATCTGTATCTTACATACCCACAGAAACTTCCCCTGGTTTTTCTAAGCCTCCCCAGGAGTCCCTTGTAAAAACTGTCATGCCTCCTTTGGTCAAAGATGACACATGCCAATGAGGTGGAAGGAATTAGGAATTGAGACTGTTGAAAATCTGGTGTTTCAGACAACAGTCAGAATAGCCACAAGGTGTCTGGAGTCAACATAAACACCCAGTGATTCCAATTACTTTGAACATTATCTGTCCTTGAACTGTGAATTTTTCACCTTCCGATCATTACCAGCACTATATATTAAGATTAAAGACTGACAGAATCTCATCCAAGAATACACTAAGGATATTGATCAAGTGAGTTGGAAACTCAGAAGGCACCCAGTGTTATTCCCAGGCTTGCCATAGGTCGTGCTGCTTCCCAGTGACTACTAAACAATCTAAGCCAATGGATCCAAGATAGTGGTTGAACTGAGGAAATACTGAGAGAGCTCAGCCTTCTCCCTTCTCTCATATAGACATCCATGATTATTAAAAATTTGAAACAATAATTGTCTCCTCCCCAGCATTAGATCTCAAGGCTACTTTTAAACTTTCATTAGATTCTTTTGAGACTCTTACAAGACCTATGGGCCTACTGCCGGGAAACATGCTCACAGGCACATACCCCAAAATTTTATGGAGTTCACAGCCCCTTGACCTGAAGAAAGTCTTATCCATGGATATCTCACAGTCTTCCCCTGAATTTGCAAGAATCTTTTTCTTAGGGTAGCACTTGTCAAAATTGAGAAGAGGGATTGAAGATGGGGCTGGGGGTTTAGCTCAGCGGCACTGTGCCTGCCTGGCAAGTACAACATTGTGAGTTCAATTCCCAGTACCAAAAAAAAAAAAAACAAAAACAAAAACAAAAAACCCCAACAAATCAAAATTGAGAAGACAGCTTCTTCTGAAAGGGGAAAAATATATCTTAAATCCTAGAGATTGTTCAAATCATCAGAAATGGTTGTCAGAATCCAGCTGGATAAAAAGTCTCTGGGATACTCCAGGAGGGCAGAGCTCATTGAGTTACTGTTGCATCCCCAGCACATGAAACAGTGCTTGGTACATTAATAATTATTATTAAATATCTGCTGGATTTATTGATGGAAAAAGGGGGACCAAAAGTGATTCAGGAGCTCAGGAATAAGCAACGAGATTGTATATAGTCCAAAGAAAGGGCCACCAGATGGGTCACTAATATCGCCTCAAATCATAAATGGTGTTAAACCCATACGACAGGGAGATGCGTCACATCTGAATGCAGTGGAGTGCTCACTTGGGCAGCACGTATACTAAAATTGGAATGAATCCAGTGGAGTTCTGAGACAACATACCACGGTTAGCTCCACCTGTTGGATAACTGGTGATATATAGTATTCTGAACCAAGAGACCTGAGTGCACATCTGCTTTCTGCCATTCACTAGTTGTAGGACACCAGGTGAACCATGTCCTTGCAGGTTTCCCTTACACTTCACAGGGAAATAACTTATGTCTTCTTCTTAGCACTGCTGTGGTTGGCCTCTCATCCCTGAGCCAGGCGTGGGCTCACCACAAGTCAACGCTCCAGAATCAAAAGCAAAGAAAGACTTTTGTAATTGGATTACTTGTAGCACTTGTGACAGATACTTGTGACAGCTTTTCGAAACTTAAAATAGGCTCCTAGTGAAGTTAAAGAGTAAAAATGACAGCAACCCAGATTCTTGCCTGCAAAAAGTTACAGTTAAAGACATGATATACAGCAGAATTACCTCCTCTTTGCTATTTTGCTTTTTTGTTCAGTAGCTGTTTTGCCTGAGAAAGTTGTAAGTGTTACCTGGTTCCTGGGGGCACTTAGCCCCGGCGCAGTATTGCAGGGGATACCTTGAGGGCTCGTACAGCGCTCAGGGCTCCCCTGTATGCAGATTGTGCAAATGTACTCCATGGAGCCTGCTGCTCCGCGGTTCAAAGGACAAAGTATGTATTCTTCTTTCCTTTGCTTGAATGAGTGTATGTATGTTGTGCACCAGGCAAAGCCTTCCAATCTATTATTTGTGGGCCAGAGAAATAATCGATATACAGGTTTAGACATCAGTCCCTGCCTAAGAGCACTCACATGAGAGCAGCCAAGTCACAGTCCCCATCAGCTCTTTGAATGCGACACATAGTCACTCTTTCTAGAAGCCTTCTGGAAACATGATGTGAAACCTCTGTGCAACAGCTGGAAGCAATGGGTAGTATGGCTAAAGGAAGGGAAAAAAGAAAATGTTAAATCTCACTGTGTAGTTCAAATTGAGCTTGTACTCAATCTGTAGCCCACGCTGGCCTCCATCCTCCTGCCTCCACGTCCCTCCACCCCAAGTGCTGAGATTACAGAATTATGTGCGACCATACCCGGCTAAACCTCCACATTTTCTCCAAAAGAAACAGTGTGACAGAAACCAGAACCAAGTCCCATAGAAACACATAAAGTAGAAAAATTAAATCCATTTACGGAAGACAGGATAGGCATCAGGGATGTGAAATTTGGGCTGCATTTTAAAGGTGTCAGAATTCATCTGAAAGAAAAAGTGAGTGGAACATTCTAAGCAGGAGGAACTACATGCTCAGAGCACTTTGGGTGGAAGCAAACAGAATGTTTGTGTAGCTTGTGTATCTCACAAAGTCCTACGTCAAACCCACGGAAGATGGTGTTTTAGACCGGGGCAAATTTAACCTGACAAGATTCTTGTCAAAACTAACAGAGGAAACTGTGGGCTGACCTCAGGTCATCTTCACTTCCTGTATCTAGGACAGATGGCTTCACTCTAGTCTCAGAGCCCAAGGAGGGCCTACATGAAATTGACTGGAGCTCTTCCCCTCTAGAAAGAAAGCCTCTTGGGTTTCCTCCTGCGTTATGTAACCTAAATAGCCTAACACTGCTCCCTTTAAAGTTGCATCATGGCTTGAGGTATAGATGAATAAAAATAAAGCTTTAGTCCAACAATTTTTTTTTAACTTTCAGTGTAAATAAGGACCAAAATGTATAATAGATAGTGTGAAATGGAAGAAAATGTTCAAATTGGAAGGGGAACTGGGGGTGGGGGGTGGGGAGGAAGGAAGTGAAAGGAAAAAATTATGAGAAAAGGGGAAAAAATAGAAACAAAGCTTTTGTAAACAAGGAAGAGAAGAGGGGTTGAAGGGAGCATAGAAGAATGAAAAAAAGAATCAAGTTATATAATGTACAGGCACAAATTCCCTATGATGAGTGTGATCATTATGTGTAACTAAATGTACCAGTAAACTTAATTAATAAAAAAGAAATAGAATACACATATAATCTCCAAGTATATTTTAGCTATATATCTGTAAATTTATTTACAAAAAGTTCTCAATAACTTCTTTTTTTTCTTCCTCTTTTTTTTTTTTTTAAGGTAGGGTCTTACTGTGTAGCCCAGGCTGGCCTCAAACTCACAGCAGTCCTCCTGTCTCAGCTTTCTGAGTGCTGGGATTACAAGCATGTGCCACCATACCCAGGTCTTAATGACTTCTAAACCATGCATTTTACTCAATAGATGTGGTTGAAATATATCTACACATGTGATATACAAATTCTGCTCAGTCCCATGTTTAATTTAGCTGTCATGCAAGTCTGTAGCAACCTAAAGAGGAAAATGTTTGCAAATGCAAGCCATTTCATGCTGTGCAGGTCTTTGTTTCTTCTTAACATAGATATAGAAATGGACTTTTCATTTTATTTTGCACTGAGTGTCCACAGAGGCACATAAAGCACCAATCAACCAGATTCTCTAGAACTGGAAAAGCATAATTTGTTCAACAAACATTTATTGAGTGTTCACTCTGTGACAGACCTTGAACTCTGCATTTGAAATTGTGAAAAAACAAGGCATAGTCTCTGTCCTTGTGATGCTTAGGCAGATAAATAATTACAACACAGCAAAGTAAATGTTGGGTTGCCGTGCGACTCAGTGTTAGTGTGCTTGCTTAGCACAGACTAAGCCATGGGTTTGATCCCCCAACACCAAAATAAACAAAATAAAGAAAATAAGTGTTAACAGAGGTATGTTCAAAATGCCATAGGGTTATCAGTGGATAATTTTTTTGGTGAACAAATAATACTTTCCGATTTCTAGTGAATCTGGTTGGTTGATGCTTCGTGGGAGAAAAGGTTGATTTTGGCTCCTGGTCTCAGTCCATGGTTAGCTGGGGTGGGGGGCGTGGATGGAGACAGGAGCACACCTCTTCTGGTCGTTCCCGCAGTGACTCATCCCCAACCAGGCTTCACCTCCTGACACAAGTCAGCTCTATCACCTCCCTGATCAAATCTTCTTCCAAACACAGGAGACATTTTAGGGACATTTTAGATATAAGCTATATCATGAGTAAACCTGTGTGTTAAAGAATGTAAGTTATCCAAGTGCCAGTGTTTATTCAAGCAGTAGGTTTTGTTTGTTTTGTTTTGTTTTGTTTTGTTTTGTTTTTTGGTACTGGGAATCGAACTCAGGACCTTGCACTTGCTAGGCAGGCACTTGTGCCGCTGAGCTATATCCCTGGCCCTGAAGCTGTAGTTTTTAAACCAAAAAATAGTACTAGGACCTATATGCACTTAGTAAACTGGATTACATTTCTCATACATACAGGTAAGACTGGCTCACCTGGAGATCACTTAACTCACATTAATTATCAAAAGGTAAGAAGCAAAGTAGCGTTTAGTACATGTTGGCAGATAGGACAGTAGCTCTCATGACACTGTCCAAATAACTTTGAAGGGTGCACAGGGACTTAGGCAGTGAAAAATGGAAACAGTGTAGATTGGATGAGGGCAAAGCTAAAATTCTGTTAAATAACACTGCCCCCTAGAGGTTCTCTTGCGCAAACTCCTAAGTGTCAGCATTTCCGATTTTAAAGAATGGTCGGCCACTTCCTTTTATTTCAATTATGTTTTGGCTTGTTTTTTTTGTTGTTGTTGTTTGTTTGTTTTTTTGGTTTTGGTTTTTTTGCGGTACCGGGAATCGAACTCACGCCCTTTAGCTTGCCAGGCAGGCGCTGTGCCGCTGAGCTAAATCTTCAGCCCCTGATTTCAATTATGATTCCAGAATTTTTGCTCTAGATTTATAGGTGTCACTTAGGCCGAGAAGAAGAATATGTGAATTTCTTGTGCAGTTACATTCTTTTTATTCAGATGATAGGGTTTTTTTGGTTTTTTTTTTTGGGGGGGGGGGTTTTCTCCGGTACCGGGAACCGAACTCACGACCTTGCGCTTGCCAGGCAGGCGCTTTGCCGCTGAGCTAAATCCCCAGCCCCCAGATGATAGTTTTACTTGGTTGGAGGGGAAAGCTGCTAAAAGCTTAGGAAGTTTTTTTTCCTCTTTAGAATTGTCATTCTATTTCTTTTCTTTAACTTTTAACTTTTATTTTATTTTTTCAATTTTTAAATTTTAAATTTATTTTTTAAATTAGTGCATATTTGTCATACATACTGATCACATTTATTGTAGGGAATTTGTACATAAAATATCTTAATTCTTTTTTTCCCCATTTCCCTCCTCTCCCTTCAACCCTTCTTCCCCTTTAAAAAAGCTGCTTTCATTTTTTTCCTTCCATTCTCTATAGTAAGTATGAAATAAAGTAAGGGGAAAACGTTTCTAAAATAACACAGCATGCAGCAAGGGCTACATGATAAACAGTATAAGTATCTGAAACACTGAGAAGCAGAAGAGATAAAGTACAATACTGAGGCTCAAGTACACTTTACCAAAGGGGTCACACTTGAATTTGGGATTTGAAAAATGGAAAGAATGTTAATAGGGCATTAAAATGTAGAGAAGATAACAGGCGAAGACAAAAATATGAGAAAAGAACTTACACAAAGTTTGCTAGATACAGAATTTACGTGTACAAATTTTAAGAGAACCGCATGAAAAGTATGTTGGAATCAGTACCTTACATCTTATAGAAACACAAGTTCAATAATCTCCTTCAATGGAAATCTTACAAATCAAGATAAGGTGATTTATCTGAATTAACACTCTTCTGTGGAAAAAAAATGCGAATAAATGATGCTTTACTATTCTTCTTTTTTGTGAAATATTTCAACACGTAAGTAAGTATAAAAATAATAAAGACACCTATATGCCCCTACCCAAGTTTTGCTAATTTTAGTCCTTTTCTACATTTCAGTTAAGGTCTTGCTAAGTGCCCAGGGGTGGCCTTGAACTTGTGATCCTCCTGCCTCTGTCTCCACAGTAATCCAGCCTTCAGGTTTTTTTGTTTGTTTGTTTGGTACTGGGATTTGAACTCAGGACCTTGTATATGCCCAAGCAGGCACTGTGCCACTGAGCTATCTCCCCAGCCCTTCAGTCTTATTTTTAAATGATCTTTTTCCAATACTTTACTGTTACAAGCAAGACAGCAATGAACATCCTAATAAGAAAATATATATTATTTACTGTGTACCAGGCACTAGCATAACTGCTAAGTATGAATTCATTCATTTAATCCTCACAGCTATTAGAAGCAAAAAATGTATTTATCCTTATTTTATAGATGGAGCTAGGCTTTGAATGCAGATTTTAAAAAAAGTCTCTTGGCCATACTTTATTTGTTCTTCTGTGTACATTTCATGGGCCTCGAGTGAGAATTTCCCTAGGATAGCTTTCAAATTTTAACATGCATTAGACTCCATCAGAGTTTATTAAGCCCGGTTCTCTTTGTCAGCCCCTTCCCTGACCTCAGTCTTCTGACTCAGGGTGTCTGGGGTGAGACACAGACATCAGCATATGTCGCTGCTGGCCTAACACACTAGCAGAATCGTGGCTCTGGAAGAACAGGCATATATATGGAACTGCTGGGTATAGGATGTATGCATCTTCAGACGAATTTGGTCCTGACAAATTGCTGTACAAAGTAATTATGTCAATTTACACTTTATATCCGCACTGGATGAGAGTTCCACTTCTGCCATCCTCAACATTTCATAATGTCACATAAACTTTTGCTGAGGTTAAAAGTACAGGCCAGTTGTGAAGGGCATGCTTACTACACATGAGGTCCTGGGCGCAATCCTCAGTACCAAAACTAACATTTTTAAAAAATATATTAAAACTACTAGTCTGATGGGGTTGAAATGGTATCTCAATGTGACTTAATTTGTGTTGCCCTATTGCTGAGGTATCGGTCATTTAAATTTGTTTTTTGAATGGTCAAATTCTATTTTTGCTTTCTTTGTTTTGTTTTGAGGTACC